ATCCTTGTGTTCTTGTTTTTTGTGAGCTGTGTGTGTGTGTTTAGAGTCGTGTGTTAAGTGTCTCGATCCTAACATTCACTTCATAATCATAAGGAGACTAGGTGTATCAGTCTAATGTTAAATCAGCCTTTCTAAATGGTGAGCTAGAAGAAGAGGTGTATGCTGCTCATTGGTTTGGAAAATAAACACTTTAAGAGCACACATGTAGGATTGAACTACCTAACACACACTAGGGAAAATATTGCATTTCCAATCAACAAGGTTTCAAGGTTTATGCACAGTCAATCTCGATCGATGAAAGCAACAAAGAGGATTCTTTGATATGTCATACGAACTGTTGACTATGGAATTTGGTAGACAACTGTATCAGATTATAGATTATTTGGTTTCACTAACAGTAATTGGAGTTGTTGTCTGGGCGATCAAAGGAGCACTTTTCGTGGTTATTTTTATGTTTTCTTAGTGGTTGGTTTATGTCGGTTTAGAGGTCTATGTTTTCCCTTTGCTCATTGCTTAGATTTTACTTTCCCAACAGTAATTAATAGCCCAAAATCATGTGGATTTGAGCAATTATGAGATAAAGAGTATTTTGAAAAGATTACATGGGCCCAGGGCAGCCCATCAGATTTAATTCAAGATCTAGTTAAAGTAGAGTAAATCACTATTTGGTCTATGTACACCGATCAAAATAAGAGAATAATAGTAGTTGATCCAACCAGGTATGCAAGTACCAAAGTTTCTACTTGTCAAGAAGGGGAAATAACTGATTTTTGAAGCATTTCCTCCCGTACACAGGTAATAACTGATATGTGTTTGACGATATATCTGCCATTGAGAGCTGCAAGTGTATTGGGGGATAGATTTTGCACATAAAAACATAAAAGCGTATATGCATCATTTTCATCAACGCTAAGTCTATATCTTTATGCCCAATTTGTGAGTTTTGTTAGCAAATAGAGCAATTTCATGAAACCAATAGGAATTAGGTCGAGCAGAAAAAAAGAATGGGAAACTTACAATGATCAACGATGACTCACGAATCGAGAAGAGAGAAATGAATCGGCAGCGGAGGCTTCGGCTTTTCCATGTCGTCACCTCGCTGATGGTGACGATGGGTAGGGTTTACGCCTCGTTCCCGAGTTTAACAAAAGAAAATAAGAGAAGAGAAAAGAAAGTCATGAGAGAAAAAGAAGAGAAAGGAAAGGAAAACAAAATTATATTTTGTGTTCCCGAGTTGGAGAGAAGTGGAAGGAAAATGAATCATTTTGTTCTTTTTTCCATATCCTCCCAAATCGGAAGGAAAATTATGAGGGAAAGTGATCCTCCCATTTCCCTCCACGTCCTTTCACTTCCCTCCTTTAATGAAACTCGGGAACACCAATTTCTTTTATTTTATTCTCATTTCCAGTCATTTCATTTCCTTTCTCTCGTTAAGTTGAACTCGGGAACGGGGTGTTAGGAACGCATGACTTGAGCTGGTCATGAAAAAAGAATGGATCATTGATAAAATTGGTCCGGAAGTTTTGGCAATGTCAACATTAGTCCACAACATCAACAACAGGTCCACATTCGATTTATCTACGGTTACTTTTTTGCTTTTCCTACTTTTGCCACCTTACTTCTTCAGTTTTGCTTTCTGCCCTAATTATATATCATTTATTTTCCTTCTTTTAATCATCCGTTCACCGTCTCCCTCGCCCAATTACACGCTGCCGCTCTTCTTGTCCAATGATATCCTCCACCGCCATTGACCGGCGACAGATGACGTTCTTCTCTTTCCTACCTCTGTTGTTCCAGTTTTCATCTCCCCTCACTCTTCCTCATCCGTTCTCTTCCAATACGATGGTTACAGTGGGTATTTTCTTGCGCATATCGCCATCGCTAAGCTCCACCGCCATCACTCTTCAACATCTACTCATCGTATCCGCTTTGCTTCTCTCCATGCTCATGCTTTCTGGAAACCTCTGACGCTTCTATTGATACGTCTTGCCTCCACCGCCAAACCCTATGGTCGCACCTGATATACGTCTTGTCTCCGACGCTTCGTTGTCATCGACCCTTCAATTCTACTTCTTGCCAGTTTTAAACCCCCAAGAGGGTCCGAACCCTATTTTCGTTTCTTGCTATTATCAGAACTATTTTCATTCAGACTTCATTACTGTTTATGATGTGTTTTGCAGGGTTATACACCCACGTCTGATACGTAGCCCCTTTAATGATATTCGTTTTTATTACCGTCATCAAGGGTATATCCTTGCTGGTGCATTCGGGCAAGTCTGTTTTTCTTTATTTGTTATTAGGAAATATATACTTCATTTAAGCATGTGATGATCTTATGATAATTTATTGTAGGTGTGGATCACAACAATTAGGGGAGTTAGATGGGATAATAAGGTTTGCAATGAAATCATATCCCAAGTTCTCAACATTTGTGTTCTAAGTTCTAACAATAAAATCATATGTTGGTTTCATAGGTCCACGCCATGCATTAGAATACAGCCGGTATGCTACAGCCGTTGTCAATGATACCCTATCAACATATCTGCTTAAAGGTTAAATGAACATTTATGCTACAATTACTCACCTTTTACCCAATTTACACCATTGTTTCACACATTTACCAATTTTTGCCACAATATTTCACCTTTTTATCCATTTGTGTAACAATGTTGTACTTTTTTAGCATTGCAGACTGATTTTGTTTCCAGATGTCACAAATTCACAATCACAACAACATGATTTTGAACTAAAAGAGGCAAAATAAATACTAATTCTTACTCTTCAAAGGCAGGTCACATCTCTCACAGGACAAATTGACTCCCTTGCTTATGATCTACCTGAGGTACGTATCTCTATTCACCTACAAAGTTCATCTTAACAAGATGGTATTTGGTTGCATAATTTCCTGGAAGAGATGAAATCTTTTAAAACAATTGAAATAGAAAAGATTTGGAATTAGAATTTTTTTGAAAGGAATCATAGAATTCTGTTATAAGAAATAAAATATGATATAATTGGAATGTGAATGTTTTTGGAAAGTATGAAATCTATCAAAAAAAGGGAGATGAGGAAATTGGAAATGAAATCTCATTAACTTGGACACATGTCATTTTTTGGTATTTTTGAATAAATGTTTTTCCATTTGTCATTTTCTCATGTTTTTTTATCTTTTTTTAATTAACACACTATATTTACACATCAATTAATAATTGTCTTAATTGAAAATAACCAATAAATTACAATATCACTATTCATATAGTATTTAATATGTTTCCTTTTAAATTTAAATTTTAAATTTTAAATTTCAAATCTAAAATTTCAAATTTAAATAAATTTTTATTTAAACCTTTATATTTAATTTTTTGTTTTATCCAACTCGTATAACATACGGGTCTCGCAACTAGTGAAATATACATTCAATTTAGATGAAGATCAATAATTAAAAATGAATAACTTCACCATTTGTATTTTATAATGAAATTTTCTTTTATTCACGGTATATATATATATATATAATTAGAACTTCTATCTATATTTCTTTCATGACAGGTGAAAGGAGACAAATATTCAGCCACGAGATTGAGTGATAGTCTTATGAGTTCCCCAAAGACACCAACATATGAGCGAGAAGAAGCCTTTAACTCTCTGGTAAGTATCATATGTTACCAACATTTCTAATACTAACATTGATCTCGTCGAGTATCAGGTGCTTAATTTTTTATACTTTGTTTACATACCATTCTACATCAATATATTCCTAAGACTATATATTAGTTCAAATGGTGATGTTTTTATTAGGTTGCTGATGTGTCAAGATGGATTATAATTTGTATATTACTTTAAATAGTGTTGTTTTTATTAATAGAACGATTCTAATTTAAATTACGATTATA